AGCCTGAAACTTATAAAAGAGCAAAGAGAAAGCCTTAAAAAGTTCTCTTATCTAATTTGTAAAATTATTTTAACTTACATTCGGTTTCCGACATTTACTTACTAATAATTCACCATTGCCTTTCTTTTTAAAGGATGCTCCTTGTTATTTCCCGATATTAGCTTGCCCAGTTTGTGCATATTTCTTGCATTCCTAAAACGCATGCGTATTTTGCCTTATATTTTGTTTTATGTTAATGACCCACTACACATTCCTGGCGCGAAATAATGTCACGATGACCCTGTTTAAACATCCGGTGGCGAGAGGATTTTGTCACCGGTCGATAAGCAAATATATGGAAAACGTAGAAGTTTTTTTTCGCTTTCTGCTGCCATACGTTCGCAAGTAATCAGATAAGATTGATTGAATAGACGTTATTGAATCTAATATTAAACAAAGCCATCATAGAGAAGCTTGTTTAGAGGCTAAGGCAAAAGAGCATGAAGGCATTCTAATTATTAATCATAAATTTTATTCTTGATAAGGCTTGCAAAAATCAGAAATACACAAGACAACGATATCACTAACGCATTAACACAGATTTCACGTATAACTCTAATCTTTATTAGGCGCCGTGTCCCTTCAGGACATGGGTGATCACGAGACCATCACTAACACTCCAAGATAGATTCCACATATAACTCCATCATTGTATGTGCCGTGGCTCTTCAGTACATGAGTGATAATGGCTCTCCACAACTTCCTATTCTACTTAGCAAATATTTGTACATTCTTTTGTACTGGTGAGACGGAAAACTACAAGAAGAGGAAAAAAGTCAAGTAGTTATGTCCTAACCCAAAAAGAAAAGCTATTGAGCAAAATTTAATGGGAAAATTAGCTCGAGGTGGGTGTCGTAATGGAATGTGCTCCCCTCCCTATCGCTTATGTGGACAGACGATATCAGAAGCTATATATAGTGAGCGCAAGATATACCTGGGGGGGGTTACTTCGGCTTGTCGAACTCTTTGCTTTCGGGCAAAGAGGAACCCGGTCGAGGCTGTGCCGAAGGGCAGAGTCTCGTCTGGGGTGGTAGACAGCTGCCCGATCCGTGTATATGGGGTCTATAGGGAATTTTTGCCCGAGCCTACGAGCTCGTATTTACCCCGCATTAAAAAACGACCTTGTGCCACATTCTGCCTCGCGGGAAGTTTAGGTAAAAAACCTTGCTTCGCCAATTAATTGGAGATTCGTCTCCAGCTGTGCTTGTTGAACTCTCTGCATTCGGGCTGTGAGGAACCCAGACGAGGCCATGTCGAAGGGCAAAGCCTCGTCTGAGGTGGTAGACAGCTACCCGACCCCGGTTTTATGCGGTCTACCGGGAATTTTTGCCCGTGTCCATTGGATTGGTTTTAACCCTGCATTAAAAACGGCCTTGTGCCACATCTTGCCTCGCGGGGAGGTGAGGTAAATAACCTTGCTTCGGGAATTACTAGCCTGCTACCCGATCCCCTGTCTTTCAGTAGTGTATTCTCTTTTACAATAAACCTCTCTTTCTTTCATCTACGCGCGCGTTGCTCTTCCTTCACTCGAGTAACATCTTTGTTTGTAACCTCTTTAAGGACACAATACATTCACAATCGATCCCCGTTCCTCTTCTATTATACGTTTACACAAACTCATTGCGTATGTAACACGCTGATTTTTTCTGTCCATCTTGCCTTCAAATCATTGTCGATCAAAAAGTATCGGGACTGGTGCTATAAAAGGAATATACAATATATATAGATTCAGCAATTAATTTCCTTCGATGTAGTCCCATCCTGAAGCTATACTCTTTATTCAGCATCGATTCCATTGATGGAAGCATTCCTAGAACTATATTTTTTATTAGCGGGCCGCTGCTTCGTTGTATTCACTTGAATTTCTTCGACGTCTTGGAATCTTGGATTTTTTTGAGAAGAGAAAAAAGTCGCAAGGGGCGGTATCTACGGAATATTGTGGTTGTTAAACATGGGAAATGTTTGTGCTTGGCCCAAAACTCCCTCACAATCCATTGACTCTGATGAAACCTCTTTGTCGAAATGACCACACTCTGCACACTTTCCTTCTAATCACTCCTATAAACAATGGAAGTGATTGAGAACGTTATAACTTAATGTACATGCGAGATAGATTTTAAGGTCAATTTCTACTAAGCGTTTCTGTCTGTTCTTTAGCTGTGTTACCATAAGAAGAGTCCTTTTTGATCAGACACAATATGTTGTGTTCGTACCGTATTTTCCAAGCATTCTTTTCTCATTATATATTCCAGTAATTTCAACTGTTTATTTCTGATTTTATATATAAGTGTATTTTTATTTGAATTTTCCCCGTTGCTTATTTGCCAAGGCTATGATATTGTCTGTATCTTTCCGTGGAAAAATATCTCTGTTACCTCGAGTTTTCATTTGTGAGAAATCAGTCTGACATTCTCTATCATATAGGAGGATTGATATTACATAGTAGTTCAGCACTCTTTTCTGAGCTTCTAACGAAATATTCCTGTTTCTTGAAACTTTGCCTAGCTTTTGAAGAACATCTTTCTCATTTCCTGTGGACTTTCGAATTTCATTGTCACATTTCTCTTGTCTCTTAAAACAATACCCATGCATTTAAAGTTCTGTAATTGTCTCATGTTAATACCTTCAAAGTTTATTTAACTTGCATTTTGGTTTGTTCTTCTTGCTGACAACTATAATTTTTTTCCGCTTTACTATTCTACCTTATATAGGATGTCCTGTAGTAGTCTTCTTTCTATGTCTACCATCAACGGTGTGATTTGTGTATAGTATATTGTTAAGATATTATCCGTAACGAACACGCTAAGACAACTCAAGGCAGAACAACACTGAACAAGATTTATCGAAATGTCAATGAATTAAAAATAGACTTACTACTTTTTTTCTTATTTTAAATAGAAATTTTCTATACGTTCTCATATCATTTGGCCAGTACTGCTATTAATAATAGAGGGTCGTAGGCATAAGATAAGATAAGCATTGTACCGTTTCCACCTGGTAGATTTTCCAGCTCTCTTGGGATTACCTCGCTGTAGAGGTTGAATAAATCCATTGGCTACTGAATTAATTTCCATAAAAGTAAATTACACGCCAAATGTATTCCTCTCGCATCCATGATTACATCTTGGCTGTGAGAATCTTGTCCAGCTGTAGAAATCCGAAATATTTATAAACATTAATCTTTACCCACTTCATAGATTACTGTGTTACCCTTTTCATTATTAGCACAGCACACTAATCAATTCGAAATGATGTCTTGAACAGATACCGACGGTGTTCTTCATTGGCAGCAGACATCTTCAGATAATCCGTGTATATAACATTATTATTATTATTATTATTATTGTTATTTCCTTAGATTCCTAATGTATACACATTTTCTTCTGGGTCCCAACCAGAGACCTAAGATCACTCATGGCTTCATGGCATTTTCCACTGATTATTTTTATATAAAAGAAATAAAATAATAAACAATGCAAAATCACACACATTTTACGTAGATAAAGCTCTTCGTATAGTGTTGCCTGTACGTTTGAGTATAGGTTTTTGTATTTCTTGAAGGCATGAAGTACCAGGATTTCCTTCAAGAGTCTATCAGAACATTTTTTCAATTAGTCAGAGGGCTCCAACTACAACTGGGATTGTTGATGTCTACATGTGCCACAATATTTTAGACTTCCACGTGAAGATACTTGTATTTTGATATTTTTGATGATCTTCAAAAATATATTACCATCTGCAGAGACAGCTATTTCAATAAGAAGGCACATTCTGTTTTTGTAGTCTTTGATCACGATGTCAGGCTGATTACCTTTGGTTGTTCTACCTGTGTGTATTGTAAAGTCCTATAAAATTGTTATATTATGTTATAGCCACATCAGTTATTTGGAATTCATTTTCTATTGTGTTGAAGACGACTATATTTTGTTTTCTGTTGTTCATTCATTATTATTATTATTATTATTATTATTATTATTATTCGAAGAAATCAGTTTAACGAGCACTTAAGAAGAAAATAAAAATGTTTCGTATTAATTATATCTGAATTATAATTCTGTAAAATAATCATTTTTTACAAGAAAGATTCAAAATTTAAATAAACTTAACGAAAGCATAACGTATAGTTTCATAAAATACAGATGCTTACGAGTTTTAGGAAAAACGATATAATTTTTTCCTGTATATAATGTTTACATATGCTTTTTTTTATCTTTCTAGACGTCGACATTTAATATAAAATTCATCACGAGAAAATGAAGGCTATTCCAACTAGAAGCAAGCTATTTTCAACGTCTGACTAAAAAAATTTGTTGATGTAAAAATGATGCATAAGCAAATGGGTAACTTTAATTGAGTCAATTTAAATGACATATCCGTGAGAATTATTGAGGTTTGCGAGCTGAATATAACCATACCAGATCCAGAAAAGATTTGCATTGTAAACTTGAGCAAATTGATGATTAGCTGTTTACACTTTACAGGCTTAGTTAATTGTAGAACGTTTGAAATTCATTTTCATAGTTTCGACAATAAAAGCTGACATTTCAAAACGTTTCTCTCTATGACCTAAGATGAACCAAGAAGTCAAATAGAATGCATTTGTGACATTCACAATGAGAATTTAGTATCAATGGACTTTTTTTTACATTTTTAATTTGTTTACTATTATTGAGAGTTGAGAGTTTTTTTAGTGAGAGAGTTGCATGTCATAAAAGCGGAGCATAAATAGACGAAGACTAATATACCCGTAATGGCATCTTGTCTGATAAGGGTATATCAGACACCGGAATTACTGCTAGTCGGTGCAATATGGCGAGAGGGGATGATAAAATCAGCACATAACCTTGCAGGGAACGCACAGTTAGAATTAACTTCCTATCGTGTAACTCACTACACTTAGTTTCTGATTGAAGTTCTTCGCAAGTATTTTTCAAATTCCCATACCTTACTCCTCTTTCATA